AGCCATATTGTGATTCTCCCAGCCTTTTTTGTATCTTTCCATTTGAGTCATGAGTGCTAGTAGCCTGGAAATATTACTATTCCCTTGCTATAGGTAACTGATGCATCAAGCATAACTAGACTCATCCCATCAGAAAAAGGAATTCAGAAATAACTGGATAAATTCGTCCTTTTCAGGTTGTTTGTCGCATAAGGAATCGCCCCTCTCCCAAACCAGCAAGTGGTCCCATTAATATGACGGGAAATTTCTTGGGGGAGAACCCCGTGTCAGAGAAGAGTTACGAGTTCGTGAATCCCGAAATCCTTACCGTCATACCGTCTTTCGGGCCAAAATCGGGAGGTACTATGCTGCAAATATCTGGGAAACATTTAAATGCTGGCAGAAACGTTTCCGCTACCTTGGGTTCTCGAAAGTGTGGAGAATTGAAAAGGTCAGTGTTTGTGCCAAAGAAAAAAAGGACATGGAGACATGAATTGCTATACATGGTATAACAGTTTTTCAGATGATCCCGTGACTTGACAATTGTTGTAGAATCCATATCTAAAAGCGAAATCTAGTAGAATTCCCCGCGATAATTACCTTTCCTCCTCTGTGGAGAATGAGGAAGAACTGCGAGGAGTTCCTCAGCCTCCGAGGCTTCGATAAACGTCAGTCTCCCTTACCACGGCATGACGTCAATTTTGATATTTTAAATATACAACGTATCCAGAAATTAGAAACCGTTTTTAAAAAAAACCCAGGGGATGGAATATTATAAGACAAGGAAAGGATGTTTGCACTAAATTGTACTCCATGTGGATATCTACAGGGTGTGTCTCACATATTCATAAGCCACTACTTCTTCATAAGAACGTTATTGGTTATTTGTCAGTGCGGACATTTTTACCACCAATCTCCATGCACTTAAGGCAGTTCCGAGTTTCAGTGTGTACCTTGTCTAATTTTCTAAGCATTTGAGCAACAAGCTCTTACCTAGAACAAAAGGCAATATTACATCAGGAACAAATAGGGTATCTATGAATGAGACATCCAGTACATCACTTAAATTTAGGTGGAATAATTGACATATTGAAACATTTCCCCAGCGGTATGAAGTGAGTCAGTGCCTCAGAGTATGAATCCGTGTTGTTTCCTCTGCACGCAAAAGAACTAGTACTACAAAAGGTCCACTGAGCTTCCAGTCGCAGAGCTTCCAGACAGTTGCTCCTTGAATATCGTGCAAGAAGTACCACATAGAAGCTTCTGTATCACCTATTCAAATTAATAAATCCTCATACATGCTATGGTGCTCTGTATACTCTTCTTAAAGTTGTTTCTTCTTTTTGGTCACCAGGTACAACCATGACAGATGGAAATAAACTAAGTCTAAGGTTCTTTGTTCCTACGAATGTGAATATCGGATTGGTTGGCTGAATATCGGAATCTTGAGGAGCACCTGCTGTAGCGGTGTATTTGCTGGACATCTGGCCGTTGACCTGTATCTGGAAGGTGCGATCGGAGAGGTATGACGGAATCGACCTGAGGACGGACGTGGGGAAATGGAGCTGTTTGTGTAATTTATAAAGGATACCCTGATGCCACACTTCACCGAACGCCTTGGTGAATTCGAAGAAGAGGGCTCCCAAGTGCATGCTTTTAAGAACGCTTAGTAGGGCGCCATGTGCTAGGCGTGTAACCTGTTCGATCGTGGAGCGGCTGCGGCGGAAGCCTGTTAAGGCCGGGTTAAGAATACGGTTGTCCTCGAATTGAGGCATTATACGGTGGAGATGATCTTTTCCATAAGGTTGCCTATGCAACTCAGGAGACTGATCAGCCTAAAGGTCAGCCAGGTTCTTGCCTGGTTACGAATTTATCGTAATGATTGCCGACTTCCAGGAAGGTGACACGTGCGAAAGAGTTACACTCGAGTTGTATAGGTCGCACAGTCGGTCGATTAATTTTGTAGAGCCCGTGCTTCAGGGACAAGAAGAATACCTTGTCGATACCTGGGGCCTAACAGGCCACGAATAGGAATGTAGGGATGATCTCGTCGTGTTTGATGGGGCGCCAGATGGCGGTATCGGGGTGTGGATTTACGTCGTCGGGTGAGAAGACGATCCCTTGATCTCCTGATGATGATCTCCTGATGATCCCCTGATCTGAGAGATCAGTCCGTGAAGAGTGAGGTCCTTGGAGGGAGGGGACTCTGTCATGGCGGCGGGTAAAGTCTCGCCAAAGACGGCGCCTTGCTACTTTCCTTACTTTGATACTTTCCTGATGCTCTTCAAAATTATACTTGGAAAGAAGTGTCTGAAGAGGGGCTTCGAAAAGAAAGTAAAATAAATTGTAATTTTAAGGGTTACACTCATTCTCCTCCTCGAACAATTGAGGATTTTTCTCGACATCGTATTATTCTATACGACTGAAACTTAGCAGAGTTTTCCAACATTTCTTAGAACTTAAGTCACCCATTCCGCATGAAGTTCCTTCGCGTTTGTTTTAGGTAATGGATACNATTCCCTTGCTATAGGTAACTGATGCATCAAGCATAACTAGACTCATCCCATCAGAAAAAGGAATTCAGAAATAACTGGATAAATTCGTCCTTTTCAGGTTGTTTGTCGCATAAGGAATCGCCCCTCTCCCAAACCAGCAAGTGGTCCCATTAATATGACGGGAAACTTCTTGGGGGAGAACCCCGTGTCAGAGAAGAGTTACGAGTTCGTGAATCCCGAAATCCTTACCCTCATACCGTCTTTCGGGCCAAAATCGGGAGGTACTATGCTGCAAATATCTGGGAAACATTTAAATGCTGGCAGAAACGTTTCCGCTACCTTGGGTTCTCGAAAGTGTGGAGAATTGAAAAGGTCAGTGTCTGTGCCAAAGAAAAAAAGGACATGGAGGCATGAATTGCTATACATGGTATAACAGTTTTTCAGATGATCCCGTGACTTGACAATTGTTGTAGAATCCATATCTAAAAGCGAAATCTAGTAGAATTCCCCGCGATAATTACCTTTCCTCCTCTCTGGAGAATGAGGAAGAACTGCGAGGAGTTCCTCAGCCTCCGAGGCTTCGATAAACGTCAGTCTCCCTTACCACGGCATGACGTCAATTTTGATATTTTAAATATACAACGTATCCAGAAATTAGAAACCGTTTTTAAAAAAAACCCAGGGGATGGAATATTATAAGACAAGGAAAGGATGTTTGCACTAAATTGTACTCCATGTGGATATCTACAGGGTGTGTCTCACATATTCATAAGCCACTACTTCTTCATAAGAACGTTATTGGTTATTTGTCAGTGCGGACATTTTTACCACCAATCTCCATGCACTTAAGGCAGTTCCGAGTTTCAGTGTGTACCTTGTCTAATTTTCTAAGCATTTGAGCAACAAGCTCTTACCTAGAACAAAAGGCAATATTACATCAGGAACAAATAGGGTATCTATGAATGAGACATCCAGTACATCACTTAAATTTAGGTGGAATAATTGACATATTGAAACATTTCCCCAGCGGTATGAAGTGAGTCAGTGCCTCAGAGTATGAATCCGTGTTGTTTCCTCTGCACGCAAAAGAACTAGTACTACAAAAGGTCCACTGAGCTTCCAGTCGCAGAGCTTCCAGACAGTTGCTCCTTGAATATCGTGCAAGAAGTACCACATAGAAGCTTCTGTATCACCTATTCAAATTAATAAATCCTCATACATGCTATGGTGCTCTGTATACTCTTCTTAAAGTTGTTTCTTCTTTTTGGTCACCAGGTACAACCATGACAGATGGAAATAAACTAAGTCTAAGGTTCTTTGTTCCTACGAATGTGAATATCGGATTGGTTGGCTGAATATCGGAATCTTGAGGAGCACCTGCTGTAGCGGTGTATTTGCTGGACATCTGGCCGTTGACCTGTATCTGGAAGGTGCGATCGGAGAGGTATGACGGAATCGACCTGAGGACGGACGTGGGGAAATGGAGCTGTTTGTGTAATTTATAAAGGATACCCTGATGCCACACTTCACCGAACGCCTTGGTGAATTCGAAGAAGAGGGCTCCCAAGTGCATGCTTTTAAGAACGCTTAGTAGGGCGCCATGTGCTAGGCGTGTAACCTGTTCGATCGTGGAGCGGCTGCGGCGGAAGCCTGTTAACCGAACGCCTTGGTGAATTCGAAGAAGAGGGCTCCCAAGTGCATGCTTTTAAGAACGCTTAGTAGGGCGCCATGTGCTAGGCGTGTAACCTGTTCGATCGTGGAGCGGCTGCGGCGGAAGCCTGTTAAGGCCGGGTTAAGAATACGGTTGTCCTCGAATTGAGGCATTATACGGTGGAGATGATCTTTTCCATAAGGTTGCCTATGCAACTCAGGAGACTGATCAGCCTAAAGGTCAGCCAGGTTCTTGCCTGGTTACGAATTTATCGTAATGATTGCCGACTTCCAGGAAGGTGACACGTGCGAAAGAGTTACACTCGAGTTGTATAGGTCGCACAGTCGGTCGATTAATTTTGTAGAGCCCGTGCTTCAGGGACAAGAAGAATACCTTGTCGATACCTGGGGCCTAACAGGCCACGAATAGGAATGTAGGGATGATCTCGTCGTGTTTGATGGGGCGCCAGATGGCGGTATCGGGGTGTGGATTTACGTCGTCGGGTGAGAAGACGATCCCTTGATCTCCTGATGATGATCTCCTGATGATCCCCTGATCTGAGAGATCAGTCCGTGAAGAGTGAGGTCCTTGGAGGGAGGGGACTCTGTCATGGCGGCGGGTAAAGTCTCGCCAAAGACGGCGCCTTGCTACTTTCCTTACTTTGATACTTTCCTGATGCTCTTCAAAATTATACTTGGAAAGAAGTGTCTGAAGAGGGGCTTCGAAAAGAAAGTAAAATAAATTGTAATTTTAAGGGTTACACTCATTCTCCTCCTCGAACAATTGAGGATTTTTCTCGACATCGTATTATTCTATACGACTGAAACTTAGCAGAGTTTTCCAACATTTCTTAGAACTTAAGTCACCCATTCCGCATGAAGTTCCTTCGCGTTTGTTTTAGGTAATGGATACAATCCCCTTTTACAAATGTGTCTGCTTGAAAAGCTTAATGTGATTGTCATACCCACGCCATGACAGTCAAATTCACTTCAGATTAAGTGTTACATGCTTCTTTGACCAATCTTATCAATCTGTATTACCTGCCTTCATCCTTAATTTTGGCGATACATTTACGAGATATGTTAACACCTTTCAGATTAGCCCACTTTAATAGAAAAACTAATTCATTAAATATGTGTGCTTGAATTTGCATTTTTGCCCACAAGTGATGTTCTTCTCAGAAACGAGTCATTCGCGGCATGCAAGACCCCAAGCCAGAATGAGACCGGAGACATGAAGTTCCAGATGGACTTCGATTCCACGAAAAGGGGTGACTTGAACTTCACGTACCTGGAGGATCCAATCATATCTAATGTATATTCCGGGGGATCACGGCAGGATGAGAAACCAAGGACCATCGCGTCAGGTGGAATTCGCATCCACGTGAAAGGAGAATACCTCCAGTCCGTCTACAAGCCATCTATCTGCTTTAATGGAACAACTTTTTGTGAAGTGAGACTTCTTGTGGTGTTTCTCTTCTCTGCGTTACAATGTTACCTTAACAAATTCATGGTCGTACGATGCCGTTCACGAGTCAAAAAAGTCCCAGAAAGGGACAGCAACACGACATGATTCAGTGTATTGTATCAGATGCTTAGCTTCTTGTAAAGTCTTGTCTTCATTAAGATAATTATTCAATTTGTTCCACCTACTGCACCGAACCGGTGATTATAGCTCCCAGTTCGTTAACTGGCAGTGAGTTCGATAAATTGCTTGCATCATGCTTCCAGGAATGTCGAGCTGAAAATGACTCATTCATGCGATGTTTGAGCCCAGCCATGGAAGAGGAATTTTATCCAATTCCCTTGCTATAGGTAACTGATGCATCAAGCATAACTAGACTCATCCCATCAGAAAAAGGAATTCAGAAATAACTGGATAAATTCGTCCTTTTCAGGTTGTTTGTCGCATAAGGAATCGCCCCTCCCCCAAACCAGCAAGTGGTCCCATTAATATGACGGGAAATTTCTTGGGGGAGAACCCCGTGTCAGAGAAGAGTTACGAGTTCGTGAATCCCGAAATCCTTACCGTCATACCGTCTTTCGGACCAAAATCGGGAGGTACTATGCTGCAAATATCTGGGAAACATTTAAATGCTGGCAGAAACGTTTCCGCTACCTTGGGTTCTCGAAAGTGTGGAGAATTGAAAAGGTCAGTGTTTGTGCCAAAGAAAAAAAGGACATGGAGACATGAATTGCTATACATGGTATAACAGTTTTTCAGATGATCCCGTGACTTGACAATTGTTGTAGAATCCATATCTAAAAGCGAAATCTAGTAGAATTCCCCGCGATAATTACCTTTCCTCCTCTGTGGAGAATGAGGAAGAACTGCGAGGAGTTCCTCAGCCTCCGAGGCTTCGATAAACGTCAGTCTCCCTTACCACGGCATTACGTCAATTTTGATATTTTAAATATACTACGTATCCAGAAATTAGAAACCGTTTAAAAAAAAAAAACCAGGGGATGGAATATTATAAGACAAGGAAAGGATGTTTGCACTAAATTGTACTCCATGTGGATATCTACAGGGTGTGTCTCATATATTCATAAGCCACTACTTCTTCATAAGAACGTTATTGGTTATTTGTCAGTGCGGAAATTTCTACCACCAATCTCCATGCACTTAAGGCAGTTCAGAGTTTCAGTGTGTACCTTGTCTAATTTTCTAAGCATTTGAGCAACAAGCTCTTACCTAGAACAAAAGGCAATATTACATCAGGAACAAATAGGGTATCTATGAATGAGACATCCTGTACATCACTTAAATTTCAGTGGAATAATTGACATATTGAAACATTTCCCCAGCGGTATGAAGTGAGTCAGTGCCTCAGAGTATGAATCCGTGTTGTTTCCTCTGCACGCGAAAGAACTAGTACTAAAAAAGGTCCACTGAGCTTCCAGTCGCAGAGCTTCCAGACAGTTGTTCCTTGAATATCGTGCAAGAAGTACCACATAGAAGCTTCTGTATCACCTATTCAAATTAATAAATCCTCATACATGCTATGGTGCTCTGTATACTCTTCTTAAAGTTGTTTCTTCCTTTTGGTCACCAGGTACAACCATGACAGATGGAAAAAAACTAAGTCTAAGGTTCTTTGTTCCTACGAATGTGAATATCTGATTGGTTGGCTGAATATCGGAATCTTGAGGAGCACCTGCTGTAGCGGTGTATTTGCTGGACATCTGGCCGTTGACCTGTATCTGGAATGTGCGATCGGAGAGGTATGACGGAATCGACCTGAGGACGGACGTGGGGAAATGGAGCTGTTTGTGTAATTTATAAAGGATACCCTGATGCCACACTTCACCGAACGCCTTGGTGAATTCGAAGAAGAGGGCTCCCAAGTGCATGCTTTTAAGAACGCTTAGTAGGGCGCCATGTGCTAGGCGTGTAACCTGTTCGATCGTGGAGCGGCTGCGGCGGAAGCCTGTTTAGGCCGGGTTAAGAATACGGTTGTCCTCGAATTGAGGCATTATACTGGTGGAGATGATCTTTTCCAAAAGCTTGCCTATGCAACTCAGGAGACTGATCAGCCTAAAGGTCAGCCAGGTTCTTGCCTGGTTACGAATTTATCGTAATGATTGCCGACTTCCAGGAAGGTGAGACGTGCGAAAGAGTTAAACTCGAGTTGTATAGGTCGCACAGTCGGTCGATTAATTTTGTAGAGCCCGTGCTTCAGGGACGAGAAGAATACCTTGTCGATGCCTGGGGCCTAACAGGCCACGAATAAGAATGTAGGGATGATCTCGTCGTGTTTGATGGGGCACCAGATGGCGGTATCGGGGTGTGGAGTTACGTCGTCGGGTGAGAAGGCGATCCCTTGATCTCCTGATGATGATCTCCTGATGATCCCCTGATCTGAGAGATCAGTCCGTGAAGAGTGAGGTCCTTGGAGGGAGGGGGCTCTGTCATGGCGGCGGGTAAAGTCTCGCCAAAGACGGCGCCTTGCTACTTTCCTTACTTTGATACTTTCCTGATGCTCTTCAAAATTATACTTGGAAAGAAGTGTCTGAAGAGGGGCTTCGAAAAGAAAGTAAAATAAATTGTAATTTTAAGGGTTACACTCATTCTCCTCCTCGAACAATTGAGGATTTTTCTCGACATCGCATCATTCTATACGACTGAAACTTAGCAGTTTTCCAACATTTCTTAGAACTTAAGTCACCCATTCCGCATAAAGTTCCTTCGCGTTTGTTTTAGGTAATGGATACAATCCCCTTTTACAAATGTGTCTGCTTGAAAAGTTTTATGTGATTGTCATACCCACGCCCATGACAGTCAAATTGACTTCAGATTAAGTGTTACATGCTTCTTTGACCAATCTTATCAATCTGTATTACCTGCCTTCATCCTTAATTTTGGCGATAAATTTACGAGATATGTTAACACGTTTCAAATTAGCCCACTTTAATAGAAAAACTAATTCATTAAATGTGTGTGCTTGAATTTGCATTTTTGCCCACAAGTGATGTTCTTCTCAGAAACGAGTCATTCGCGGCATGCAAGACCCCAAGCCACAATGAGACCGGAGACATGACGTTCCAGATGGACTTCGATTCCACGAAAAGGGGTGACTTGAACTTCACGTACCTGGAGGATCCAATCATATCTAATGTATATTCCGGGGGATCACGACAGGATGAGAAACCAAGGACCATCGCGTCAGGTGGAATTCGCATCCACGTGAAGGGAGAATACCTCCAGTCCGTCTACAAGCCATCTATCTGCTTTAATGGAACAACTTTTTGTGAAGTGAGACTTCTTGTGGTGTTTCTCTTCTCTGCGTTACAATGTTACCTTAACAAATTAATGGTCGTACGATGCCGTTCACGAGTCAAAAAAGTCCCAGAAAGGGTCAACAACACGACATGATTCAGTGTATTGTATCAGATTCTTAGCTTCTTGTAAACTCTTGTCTCCATTAAGATAATTATTCAATTTGTTCCACCTACTGCACCGAACCGGTGATTGTAGCTCCCAGTTCGTTAACTGGCAGTGAGTTCGATAAATTGCTTGCATCATGCTTCCAGGAATGTCGAGCTGAAAATGACTCATTCATGCGATGTTTGAGCCCAGCCATGGAAGAGGAATTTTATCCGGGAATCTTGACCTACGGGTTTCAACTAGATGGTGTGAAAACCTTTAATGATATGGGCAGTTTTCTACTTCTTCAGGATCCCATTTACTACAAATTTGAAGGTGTGAAACTTCACTTCAGAGGTTATCTCACTCTGGATGTAAGTTGTTCTTATCCTGGTCGATGTGCAGTTCCTCATGCGTATATTCACCAGAATCATTTTAAAAAATCCACAGCCTGCTGTGCATAATACCATAGCATGATCCAAGAATCGAAGGGATTTTAATTGCGTCCTACCTCCATTTCCCCAAACAGGCATTAAAAAAATCATTGAAAGAATACTTCGAAATCCCTGTGTCACTGAGAAACCTCACTGCAAGCATTGGGATCTGCTATTAATCAGTAAACAGCTTACTTCAGCTATGTCATAACTAGTTGTTCTAGCTTCAGGAAGCACAATCGCTCGTCTACAATGTATTTTCATTAAAACGCAACTCGGAGAACATCCATTTATTTCCGAGTTAATTTCAGTGTCTATGGGACAAGTAATTAGAAGTTTTACTTGCGTGTTTTCTTATCTGTAACCTAATGTCTATGGGGATCCCTAAACCCATACATCTTATTGATGGCATAGGGAAGGCCTGACTTCACGAGCGTTCAATAAGTTACGTTACTTTAGGTCATCAAACAGATCTGACCCTGGAGAACTTCCAGTCGCAATACACCTATTAATTACTTTCATCATGAGAAGACAGATGCCTTTAAAGGGAACTGGCAAGATTTCATCATATTCGTCAATTAAAAATAGATTTTATTAATTTATTTCAATGTGCTATAAAAGGTTATGCTAAACTGTTGAAAAAGTGGCATGAATACAGTTATTAATTTTCTGGTTTTCTTAGGAGTTTATCTCCCGGGAGATCTTCCATAACGCATTATTTGGATGCTCATCTTAGCTACTGAAACTTTGCTGTGAGATCAACTCCTCAGAGGTTAGATGGAGACATTCACCTACATTTTAATAGTCCTTCTGCAGACTCTATGGTAGCAAATTAAAAACATATTCATACAATATATATTTTTTGGACAAATATCATACCATGTTCTCAGTCACCATGAAACACACATGTCTTCCCATGAAAAAAGCGCTACCAAGGACCCTCCTGAAGGGGTATTGCAATTGAAACGCATGCTGTGATGAATTTCCTAACCTTAAACCAATCGATTTCTCAGCAGATCATTAAGCGATTGAGAGATACTGTATTACTGCCCCTACTTAACAAAATCTATTAGGAAAACGAAAAATTGCCCCTCGTACAAATCGGCGTGATACCGAAGGCTTTAACTTGCCAATTAGTCCTGGCGTAATTTAGGTACTGGCACCATAAATGGATTCTACACAATACCACACCATCTTCGCTACTCTTGTCTGCATTATTTATAGGGAAAATATTTGGACCTGGGAGTCTCCAAGGAGGAAGTGGAGGTATGGATAGGGAAAGAGAAGTGCAATGTGACATCTCTTTCTCAGACTCAATTGACCTGTTTGCCACCCGAGAAACAACCCGAGGGATTCCCCAACGGAAACTCACCCATCGTCACTGTCAGTTCTTTCATACTCTGTTTCCCATCTTAATATCCTTCTCCTCACCCGATCCTTCCCTTTTCAACATAAGCATGGTAATTATGATGCGGTGTGTACCTAAGTATTTACAATGCATAAGAATTTGAAACCTATATTTTGCAGAGAAAGGCATTTGTATGCATCCATTCATCAGTATTTTTCGTATTTTTCATGTTGCATGAGAAGCATACTCTTGGATGCGATTGTACACATGATCATTCGAATATTAATGAAACGTATCAACATATTTGTCTCTATTTAATCGCGTGTTTAAACGAGATAGTATACCATATCGGCAAATGTGCAGAAGAGAGCAAGTACTCCGCATGACTTTTTCCTGCACCGCAAACATCTTCCTCGAAGCATGCATGAAGCGTAGAACTAATATAAATGATTTCTCGATATCATTTCAATCGAGTTCACAATCTACGTTGCAGGTGAAAGTGGGAAATATTCAAGAATCATTGGGAAGACTGAAGTACGCGGCATATAGTGGGGCACAGGGATTGTCAACAGGAGTAAAGGCTGGGATTGGTGTTCTTTCCGCCTTCCTGATCCTTCTACTCGGGATTGGATACTTTGTCCACAAGAAGAGGACTACACGCCAAAAGGAGAAAATACAGAATGAGGGTCAAAAGGAACTAGAGGCGCTGGAAATGAAACTAATTGATGAATGCAAGGAAGGTTAGTATCCTTCTCGCTAAAATGTCTTAGTTGCAAGGCGATCAATACAGTGCGTTCGAGCAACGCATTTAATGCTGGGAAAATGCTTCTACGTATTTGGAGCAGATATTAAATGAAGTTGAACTAAACTAATTTCATTATTACTGATTCTTCCTTTGAGAAAAGATGGCCGCTTCTTTACAGCAATATGAAGCTGGCATAGGTTCTTTATGTTTTTTGTATGCTTTATGTATTTGAACCGAATGTACAGAATGAAAATATATAGAATATTTGTCAAGTTTCTTGTGTCATCTGTTAAAGTTAAGATAGATGAACCTTTTCATCTAGGTTTTGCAGAGCTGCAAACTGAAGTGAATGATCTGACCTCGGACTTGGCAGATGGTGGGATACCATTCCTAGATTACCATGCATACGCCCTCAACGTATTTTTCCCAAACAAGAATCCTACTTACCCCATTGCACTTCCATCCAGTGCGGAAGTTAGAGGGCCTGAGAGCCAAAGATTAAAAGTGTTCCGTCGTCTGATAATGAAAAAACAATTTCTCATAACGTTCATTCACACATTGGAGAAAGTGATGAGCTTAAAAGAAAGGTATCCATTTGAACCATGCTGAGAAACATTTATTCAACCTACCCTTTGTATACCAGCCTAATATTTTATTATAATAGGTCGAGTGCAGCCACATCGATCATGGTAGCATTGCATGGGGAAATACAATACTGCACTGAAATCCTGAAAATTTTGATGTCTGATCTAATCGACAAACATCACGTGAGCAGCCAGTTGCATCCAATGCATGTTTTCAGAAGGTATGTCTCCCATCTACCAATACCTCTCTTTTACGTTATTTATTAATCAAAAAAGGATGCTATCCTTCATTGATGATTGTCAAAAATGCACCAATGCTTAAATAATTCCTGACTGGAGAAATGGTAATCTCTGTCTCTTCATCCCATGGATTTGCCTAAGAGGAAAAGAGAGACATTGTGTCAATAGCGAAAAATCTTGCACTGCAAGAAGACCTTCTAAGTGCTACCTGTAGAAGAATTACTATGGGGTGAACCAGAGAATAACAAGAAACAGTACTTGTGCTTAGAGAGGTGATTTTTCCTTGGGCTTCCCCATCAAGAGACATTGGGGATGCGGATGTCTTTGCTAAGTAGAAAATTCGAAAGCACACTCCGCTCATCAGCAGCAATGAAATTGTCTCCTCTTTTTCTTATTGGAGATGATATCTACCGTAACAACTTGTCATTTCCTTTCCTTATTCGCCTGCAGGACAGAGAGCATCGTGGAGAAAATGATGAGCATTTGGATCAGCCTCATGTTGTACAAATTCCTTCGCAATCGTGCAGGNAAATTTTGATGTCTGATCTAATCGACAAACATCACGTGAGCAGCCAGTTGCATCCAATGCATGTTTTCAGAAGGTATGTCTCCCATCTACCAATACCTCTCTTTTACGTTATTTATTAATCAAAAAATGATGCTATCCTTCATTGATGATTGTCAAAAATGCACCAATGCTTAAATAATTCCTGACTGGAGAAATGGTAATCTTTGTCTCTTCATCCCATGGATTTGCCTAAGAGGAAAAGAGAGACATTGTGTCAATAGCGAAAAATCCTGCACTGCAAGAAGACCTTCTAAGTGCTACCTGTAGAAGAATTACTGTGGGGTGAACCAGAGAATAACAATAAACAGTACTTGTGCTTAGAGAGGTGATTTTTCCTTGGGCTTCCCCATCAAGAGACATTGGGGATGCGGATGGCTTTGCTAAGTAGAAAATTCGAAAGCACACTCCGCTTATCAGCAGCAATGAAATTGTCTCCTCTTTTTCTTATTGGAGATGATATCTACCGTAACAACTTGTCATTTCCTTTCCTTATTCGCCTGCAGGACAGAGAGCATCGTGGAGAAAATGATGAGCATTTGGATCAGCCTCATGTTGTACAAATTCCTTCGCAATCGTGCAGGAAAGCCAATGTATGTGCTTTTCAAAGCGGTGAACCATCAGGTGGGGCAGAAACCAGTAGATGCGCTCACACACGAGGCACGCAACTGCCTCTCAGAAGAAGTTCTGCTACGGGAGAAAATTCAGCATAAGCAAATGGTGAGGAATAGGTTACCTGATAAAACCTCTTCTGTGAAATGCAGAAGTGAGATTTTAAGTGAGTCAGACCACCTCACTTTGCGATATTATGACTATATTACTCATAGGAGTGTATGAATGCTTCCATTAAGTATGCATCCTCTCGTTTAAATTGGGCTCTGTGTCCATAACGTACTTCAGAGATTCATGATTACTTTCATCAAATTAAGATGTGCTCAGTACCAATCGTCAATTCACCAATGTGCAATTTCAATTTCAGCATTTGGTAACCTGCATAGCATGTGCAGAACGGTGCAGGCAAAATACGAATACATTTCAAGTGCAAATATTTAAGCCGCATTCAATTAGGTTGGAACATGTTCGCCTGCTAAAACGTGTAAAAATTATTATTTTCAATATGCCCTTCATGATGAATGTCGATATTTAATTGTTTCTTCCTTTGTGACTTCATGCTGTAGTCTCTTCATCAATGCCTGGAAGGCATTCTGGAAGGCATTTAACCTCTCATGATGGTTATGCGAGTACATTGTGAATGCGCCTTCGAATAACTCATCTCTTCACTAAACTCCTTGAATTAGTTGATGACACATGTTTCTTTTTTTCAGACGATCTCCGTTTCTCTTCCACCCCAGACCTTGTATGCTTGTGGTCTCGAACCACAAAAAGAATTGTTGGATGTTCAGGTGCGCGTGCTGGATTGTGACAGCATATCTCAAGTGAAGCAGAAAATCATGGACATCGTTTTTGGCAACCAACCTTTCTCCCGTAGGCCTGACTTGGGCAAATTAGATATTCGTGAGTAATTTCCACTTTTTCTTTAGGAACTGATACAAATCTACGGATCCTTATCGATACAATATCTAGGGTCATAATGAAGGTTATCGTGACGGGAGGTGGATTGAAAGTTCATTTTCATTCGAAATTCTATAAAGCATGCATGAGTGGTGAAAATGATATTATGCATAGAAGTTGAACGAAATAAAGTTTGAAATTTCACGAATCGTTTGACATGAGTAATATCCCAAGTTATGTTTTCAAAACATTCGATTGCATTAACATAAAACCATGGGTATGCGCATTCGCCTGATTCGCGCACTATGTACAGTACTGTCGAATTCTTTGAGCAAGTCAGTTCCGAGGGGCATGGCGACTACGCAGAAGGGTCAGTGTGTATTGTGGATGGCCGAGTTTAAATCGGCCACACGGATACAGCGGAGGTTAATAACAGTTTACATTAAGGTACTTTCGACCTGCAAATGCCAGCAAACCCGATTTTTTATGATTCAAACAATTTCTAAAGTGACAGGCATCTAAAAAAAAACAATGAGCATGGACGTCTTTGCAAGCAAGATTTATCACTCTCTCTTCTTGACTATGAATAAGACTCATCCTCCAAATCATACAGTTACCCTGAAGGTAACGGCAAAACTTAGTCAAAGTTTTCTCAGGAAATTTGGCTCCGCCTTCAACTGAAAAAAAATACATATATTGAATGTGGGAATCTGAAACGATGGCTGTGTTTTCTTCTTCGCCAACGATTTTTAGAACAAGAAATGCAAAAAAAACAGAAATGGGGGGGGGGTGCCACCACTTTTTCGTCATTTCAGTGAATTGGGTTAGAATAACCCTCCATAAATGTGTCACGAATAATGGAACCTTATATTTTGCACCGAACTAACAATTTTTTTCACACAACCTTTCACAGAATGGCGGATTGGAGCCTCGGTCCCATTGCGCCTTCAAGATGAAGACATCACATCGGTTGTAGAGGACGGCTGGATTCGGATCAACACTCTTCATCATTACCGGGTAATAATGTACAGTATGTTCCCTTCCACAAATAACTACGACTCCGCAATAGTATTATGCACAACAGCGATGAATTTACTTAAGTTTTTTTTCTAATGCATTTTAGAAAAAAAAGTAGTCTTCCGTAGGGATGGTATTTCAAGTGTTTCTCAGTGATATGAGACATCAATGTTGAAGGTGATACAGCTTCTATTCCATGTTTCACTGTGTGAACGTAAGCATCAGGTTAAAAAGGTGCCACCTGATTATTAGTGCGACGCCATGTACGCTAAACGAATGGATTGCGAGGGTCTACAAAGAAACTTTGGGGATTGAAACCTCCAAGGAACTGAAATAAAGAATGTAACATTAGAGCGAATGACATGAGACATTACATGTGACAAAGCCTCGAATGTAGCAGGTAGGAAAATTATCAAAACGTAGAGCACACGCTTAAGTTGAATATACAGCCTTCACTGAGGGAACTGAAGAGAAACTTCAGAATTTCATTAAACAAGAAGTTTGAGAATCCTTCCTGGTGTCCACCACTCAGGAATACCGTGCCACTTGTCGCAATCAGTATGGAGTAGAGACTAAAAAATTCCTTGTGTGGAACGCTAGGGACATGTAAACGATTTCTGTTTATTCATGGGTGTCATAGCTGCCTTGTGCTATGCACCGATTCAGGACGTACATATAATGCATTTCTCCCGCCAAAATTGAACACGGGTAGGAGATAGCAACTCACTCCGAAAATTTCAATATGCTAGTGGTAGGCACATGCGAAGTTTTCCTCGTGGACAGCTCCTCCCATCGGGCATACTAAGTCTACATGAAGCTGTCAAAAACGAAGATCCTCAAGTAAGCAATTCGGCAGAAGGATGGCATTGCAGGGTCGCAATCAGATACTGCCATCGGATCATCATAATATGTGGACTTTCTTAAAGGTTCCCTTCAAGAGCAGTGTGTCGTAACCAGAATCCAATGTTATATTCCCTACCTTAAATTAAAGAACAGCAAAGCAGGGTGAAGGAATGTTCGACTTTGGGTGGCCTAGGTAATGAATTGCATTCCAACGCTTTCTCCCAAGAAATGCATTATCCCATGAAGTCGTAAGAAGTGATGGCGGCTTTAAAATGGTAAGAGCTCATGCTCACGTAAACGCACCTGCTATCGAAGTTCTGATGCCTGCTGCCAATATTGCAAGATGATGTCATATTGCTTCGTTTAATATTCGTTTACAGGTTTCTGAAGGGTCAATGTTGGTACTAGTGCCGAATTTGGCGAAAGAGGAAGGTGAGGACGTGAATGTGGAGACGAAGTTCAATCAGCCCCTTCTTTCCAGCCAGTCATTAGGGACACCGAAGCAGAACAATAAGGGTATCTGGGAAAGCCCTTTCCCAAAGCGCTTTCCAGAACTATTTGTCACAGGAGAATTGAAAAAGTGGCATCTGGTAAAAGAAGAAGAACAAAATCCGCAAAGGAAGAATGTTAGGATGATCCCTGAAGTGTCTCTCACTCGGCTTCTTTCGACAAAGGTAAGACTTGCGTGACGTTTGGTTACATTACAAGTATCTTCTTTGTTATTCATGTGACAGAATGGGGAAATCACTTAAAGCAAAACCGAAAAGTGCAGGAAATCATATTGAAAAAATGGAAAATGCCTGTGCTAGACAAAGTGAGGGAATGAATGGTAGTTGTCGTAGGGGAGCACTTATCGAAGGGACGGTTATGGCGGTGGTAAAATAAGAATGAACAATTGAGTGGTTGTGGAAGGAAATATGGCAGTCATCATACAGATAAACTGGAAAAGGCTCCCAATACATCTCATTCGGCCACGTCTATTTCACATAGACAGAAATCGTTTTTGAATGATTAAACACGCCAAAACTTTTGACTTTCATGCAATTGCAAAGTAAGGAAGTTACCGGTGTCTACCAGCAAATTTTGATCCGTCTTTGATGAGTAATAAAAAAACTGCGCTTGTGGTTTTGATTGGACAGTAGAACGTCAAACCTTACTGGGAAATGCGACAATTATTCTCTTTAATCGTAATTCTAGTAAAATATTATCATGACTGTACCTTCGCATTGATTACTATGGGCAACGACTTCCTTTCATTGTATCAGTTCCTTGAAGGCTATCATTGTTGTCGAGTAAAATGAGCCAAGAGGTGCTGCAAAGCAGTTTCCGTTTTGGCGAGATGTAATCAATATTATATATCACTGAAAACTCTAATTGCTTCAATCTGACGTCTAACGTTATGTAACATAGTTTTTTATTACCCATTAGCAAGCACTACAGCCGTACGTTGACGATTTATTTCGATCCATTCTGACCGAGGAAATTGAAATCCGAGGTCTTCTCCTACCAATCAAATATATCTTCGACTTCTTGGACAAAGAAGCTGAAAAACTACGCCTCGGAAATTCTGATGTTCTCCACACATGGAAAAGCAACAGGTAAAGAGAAAGCTATGTGAATATTGTCAAACCAAAACAATACTTGGAGTTGAACATCCATTTAAAACATTTTAATGTCCCGGCAGTGTACTTCTAAGATTCTGGGTGAACATAATAAAGAACCCAGAGTTTGCGTTTGACATTCACAAGAACCCCACGGTGGACTCCTGCCTGTCCGTCATTGCACAGACTTTCATGGCGGCCTTCTCCGAATCCGACAATCCAATTGGTCAGTCGCTCATTCACTGCACTTCGTTTGCTTCGAATGTTGAAAAATAAATGTCCCAGTCGAGCTTTGAAAAATTTCATTCTTGCGTGAAATACATCTAAGAGGTGGAAATAAATGTATACATATAAAATTTCCGAAAATGTAAGAACTTGGGCGCTTTGGGAACGATTGCTTGAATACCGAAGGCATTGCATGGTATGTAACGCTGCAGAAGCCCTTACAGAAGTAAAGAAGACTGTGGGGTACGACTGATAGTAAAAGCTCTTAACGCGTAGGAAGGCCTTTTGACCTTAAAATGTGAAATTAGTAACGAAGTCTGACAGTTACGAGTTTACCTCATGCTTAAACTTTGCCATAGTTTCATTTTATTTTATATAGCTTGATATTTCCTTTCCGAATTGGACAATGTATCACTTCACATAAACGAAAACTTATCCGCTAAAGCAGGAAATATGTTTGCTAAATGAAGCCCTCTGAGACTAAATCATACGGAAAAGGATATAGCGTGAGTTACAACCACATTGATAATCATCCCATGAACAAATGATGAGCACGGAGAACCTCTTATCCTCCTTTAAACTCTTTCGCTGCGTCATTTACGAGGGTAGATCAGAAAGTAAGGTTACAGTACTTGCGTCTGCCAGTTGGTGAAGTTATTTTCAAATCTAATATTGTAAGTATATTAGGATTTACTAAGAAGGTTTTCCTGATTACCGAATGCGCTCTGGTGCGCATTGCATACGTACATTACAAGTTGAAAGTGGCTACGCGAATAGAAAGTCGGTCACGCGAGGAAGTTCTTGGTGTATTCAGATTTCTTTGAGTAAGACACGAGCCAGCAGTGGGATTGTATCGCCAACTTGTCGACGTGCATGGTGATCATATAATGTTCTGGCAGACTGTATCAGGATGATGCCAATGGATTCAGAAGGAACGGGTGAGTGTGACTGATGAAGATCGAAGTGGCCCGTACGAGCTCTTCCGAGTCAGAGGAACACAAAGGTTCCACGCGCCTCGCACGCGTGGAACGTTTTATCCTGAAGGACAGAGGACTCTCTGTACATGATGTAGCTGCTTAGGTTTTTAAAGTTTACATGGCATATCATATGGAACTACGCATGCCATCGCAACAAGGACCAGAGCCCACTTGTTACTCAGGAATTTTCTGGAGTTTCCGTTTTTCTGTGCTAACTCCATTGTCCTAAAAATACGACAATCGTAGCGAGGCTCCGACTCTGACCGCAACGCCTGGAACAGTCAATGGATTTCCAGTTAACTCCTTCCTGTGCCTTTAGCCATTTCTTAATTCATTAGCACCGTTAGCAATAAGTAGTATAATAAGTAGTACTATTACTTACTTGTTAAAATGCTGGCATGGTCAAAACTAAAGATTAGACTAAGATGGAAATGATAAATATAATTTTTAATTCTTATTGACACATGTGGAGTTCCCACTTCAGGAGCATCAATCACAAGAAGTCCCTCAAAAACAGGGGATGCCTTTAGAGGCATGTTCATTGAAAATCCACATTGGAATGGAGGGCCGAGTGATATTCATTATACAGAAGCAGATTAACATGAACATATCTATGCCGAGAAGAGAAAATAAGATATATTAGGAAGTTATGTTTTTTGTGGCTAACGAAAACAGGGAACCTTGAATGATCGCACTGTAATGGGGGTCAACCATTCAATATCCAAACTCGATAAGCCCTAAAAAAAAAAGCTTTTTCTTACATGGGTTGCCATGGATCTTCTTTTCTCTCATAACCAGGAAAAGACAGCCCTAGTTGGAGACTTTTATATGCCAAGGAGATCCCTGTGTACAAGAATATGGTCAGGGAGTATTACAGGAATATTAAGTCGATGCTTCCAGCCACCGATCAGGAGATGAAGGCACTTTTTGATGAATATTCCACGGTTAGTTTTATTGTCTGAAAGTATCGTCAAAGAGTCTAATAATTTGCAAATATTGCACATTATACTAAATAGGAAATTCTATCGCATGCATAATAGTTGTACGTTTTTTTTGGCAATGCATTTAATTGAGAATTGATTTTAATGGAATTTTAATTCGTAATCTTCCTGCATTAAATCACTATTTGTAAGTTTTCGAATAGCCCTTAAAATAATGTTTGCCCATTATGTTATCAAAGTTGAGCATGTAATGGCAGTGCGTAATGAAGTCCCATTTAATGCTTCAGTACAGGTATGTGCATACATTTTGTTCTACTGCAGGCCAAAGGGGCGACATTCAACATGCATGATGCATTCATGGAACTCTTGGAATATGCAAAAAATGTCAACCGCCAACTAAAGAAAGCCTTGGAAGCAGAAGATGAGGCACTAGGAAAAGAATTTTCACGTGTACTCGATCTTGAATTATCATCGTGATCCGTACCAAGATGCAAAATGAGACTTTCAGGATATGCACAAGCGACGAAAATCTCATGCATAAATATGTATCTCCGCAAAATGGAAATCCCACATGATCACTAAACAGCATTGTACGAATATGAATGTATTTAGCAGTGTCAAGAGAGTATCCGTGCATCTGAGAATATGTTCATGCCACAATTTGCTGCGTGACGCACTTAGGGCGTTTCGTACTGACGGCATAACGGTCAAATGCATTATTCTCGCAATTTTATCAATGCTTTCAACGAGTAAAACCCTAAGCAGGTTTGAAGTGCTTCATTACACCAATTAAAGCCACCATATTTCAGCATGCTTTTCATTTCATGTATTGTCCACATTTCTTTTTATAGAGAACATGATCCAATAGATAGAACTGAAAAAATAACAGCAAGTCTTATAACCAATAAAAACAGTTAATGAACTAAATGCTGTGCTGGGTGGGCAAAAAAACAATGCCGTCCTTTTTGGTGGGTTGTCAATCTAGTCATAGGATGCTGATTTTAATTAAATTCGATAGGCATATACTGTGACTCAATTAGGGTTGTGTGCTATATTTCACGTCCAAATTCTGAAAACTGCGAAAACGGCATTTAATATACTTTTCAGCACTACTAAAGTTCATATTTTCTTAGAACTTAAAATGTCTCTCCACTTACAAAGACAAATAATAACTAACTGGTAAAAAAATATGCACAAATGCCAATAATGAAAGCATTCACTTTGGTTTAAGAAGGCTCATCTCAACATACCTCGTATAAGGTGGTCATTGTGATCTCCATTCTGTTGAGCACAAGCCTCTAGTATCGGAAGTCAGAGATCAATGGCTTAGTCAAAAATATTTGGGGCAGTTCTTCCCAATCTTCTATAGTACCAAGCAGGTTCGATTTTGATCGAATTTGAAAATTAGATCCAATTTTGATCAAAATTGGATGCCTACAATGAGATTAACAAATCACCAAAAATGACTTATTTTTGGCCTACTTCATACATTTTTGGTAGAGCTTTTCATTGTCGTTCATTTTAAGCCATGGACCATCAGGCACGAGAAGAGTATCTCATGAAAATGGGCGAGAAATGCGTTTTTCAAGTGAATGAAACGACGCATGTAAATCTCATGCGGACCCATTATGTATGCCTTATATTATAGTATAGGCACGGATAAGACCAATATTTGCCCCAGAAAGTTTAAATGTGCCATGCAATTGGATATTATCATATGTGCAAGATATAAAGCAATAATGAACGTCGGACGGGATTCGTGATAGCAATGAAGACAACAGCTACATCTTCAGTATTATATATTTCTTTGAAAATCAAGAACGATATTCATGGCATACAAGTTCACACCATTCGCTGAATATACTACTTTGTAGTAGATATAAATAAAGAAGCGGTTTGAGAGAATTCACGCATAAAACGACCTGACGTCTTTTAGGTAACCGTTCTGGGTTTAAAAGCCTTCGGTTAGAACCTCTTCTCGAGTTTCCTACATCCTAATAGTAGTTGTTACCATTGTATTCCCTGATTCGGTTTGTAAAAGTCAATGTGATGAGACACCCATCTAATTAGGGCAGTTGCAAGACCTTTTCTTCTATGATGCTCCCTCACATGCAGCATCCCTTGGGCACCATATGAATTCAACACGTACCACCCTGCCAACTCCTCTGTAGGAAAATATTTTCCATTCCCAATTAGCAATCATCGTTCATATGTTACAGTCTGCAAACCATTAATTTATCATTATTTACTAAATGAAATTCAGTATAGATGGTTCTAAAATCAATGTTTCATTCAAATAACATTCGCTTATTGTCGGGAACACAGGTGAGATGCCCCTATAAATGTTCATTCGTAAGCATTACTTTTCCATTTAGTATCCCATTCATCCGCATCGATTTGGAATACATTTGCTCGTTTTGATTTCGGAGAAAAAACCTCTCTCACACACAAAAACTCCTGCGCTCTACCCATGACATTTAATCGTTAGCTTTGTCCGTCCTGGTTAGTTCTATGCGCTTTTGGCATGTTATTTCATATGGCAGGTATGGACCTGAAATAATTATGCAATTTAAGCTTTTTTGCGAATTCATTTTATAAATACTTCCGGTAGATTGACGTTGGTGATTACCCGCATTACATTTAAAAATATATTTATCTCATGTAATTTGATAATACTATAGGTTTTTACGTCATTTTCAACCGATTTGTAGAAGTAGACGCTGTGAACTGTGATCATGAGATGGACTGGGTGTCTTTCGCAAAGCAACACCGAATGTGATTTCATCGATCAAAAAAGCCTCACCATTGTTTCTACGTCAAAGTAGAAACTGGTAGCGATCACCACATCTCCCCTTTTTCTCAAATATATATTTCAGATTATCATATAAAGAAGAAGGAAACTGCAATGAATTTGAGTTTCTCATTCTTGATGATGACATCAAGGGATGGCTGTCCGTACAAGTCCTCTTCTGAACTTTTTTTAAGTATTGCTATTTGCTTCCTTGAACGTAATTGTTAACTCCATATTCCACAGGCGGAAAATTCCTTTGAACCCTTAAGCCACCAATAAATCCCCACCGGGGCCACAAATCAAAATTAAATTTTAAATTGGAATCATCGCTTCGATAAGTATTTTTTATTGAAAAAAGTCAGCTTCGTATAATTTGTGGAACCTACATGGAATAAATAAAGCAATGGTCGTCATATATTGAATGTGTGGAGGTGCTCAACATACCTGAGTTACTTACAAAAATCCCAAAACCACGGGCCAGGTTGATCCATTCCTTGATTTTTATCAAGGTGTGCAGACCTTTATATCTCCAGGAATCATTCACCACTTCCGCGTGCTCGATGCCCAAAATCTTGATGTCGTAATCATCAGTGATCCTGTTTGAGAGCATTAGAAGACTCGGATACCTTATTCTATTGTTCCTAGACACAAGGCAGCAAATCACTCGGTTATTGTTCTCGCTAAGTGGGTGACACTCATGTGCTCACATGTAGCACTGTTCTATATACTGCCAGCAACAATGTTGAATTATATCATGTGGGGGTGAGTTGGGGGGGGGGCGTTTTGGTACATGCTCCTGTCATGGAAATGAATAAAGAATATGTTAACCTAATGGTAACCAATAGCTCAGTGACAAGGGAATACTTTTTTCTGTAGTGCTATGGACACGGGGATCAATCCTAATCGCGTATTGCACTGAAAAAGAAGAAAAACTCCTAAACTGAAATACCGAAATGGGCATGTTCTACTTCACCAAACTTGCATACAGCTTTTCATTTTCAAGTAGATTCACTAGCTAGATATTGTAAATAATGGGATCTTGGATTACAGCAAGGCCTGCGATTTAAAAGGAATATTTGACTCAAATTTGTCATTCAATTCTTCCATTCTTGAGACAAAATTCGACATCAAATATCGGAAATTTAATAATACTGTAGTGTGGAACTAAACCAGGAGAGCCACATAACATATGAAAAAGAATATTTGTTCCTACTTTAAAAAATAAACGGTGGCATTCTTCCTGTGAAAGAAAGAGAAGCGGGGATTTGTGTGTGAGATAGGCATAATGCATCAATTCTCCAAACCCAAGCCTAATCACATTCTAAAAAAAATGGAAAATATCTCATCTGAAAACTGCTAGATTTCTGCCATGGATGTTTAATCACACACCTCTCTTCCCATTGCAAAGCCACATTTCTGTCCCAGGTCAAGCTCAAGTGCTCCACTCGAACATCCATCTCATAGGTGGCGTTCTTCTCCTCTGCCACTTTAGCAATGATGCTCCAGAATGCGCGGGGAGCGGCAGAGAAAGTAATTCCTTTGCTCCAATCCAATGCTTTTAAAGATTTTTCCAGGAGCTCCATGTCAGATTCCAAGCAGCAGAATAAATACGTCTCCTCTTGAACTGGTTGGCTCTGCCATTCCCGCTTTCCGTGGTTTCAAATCATCATTGCAAGAAAAGGTCATTTGATGTCCTAATATAACGGATTTAAGCACATAATGAACTCACGTAACATAGGATGACGACGCGGAGCTCATTTGGATCGACTGGAACAAGAACCTTGGCGAAAGGTAGAAGTCCAGCTTTCATCATTAGAAGTGCGTTGTATGCCTAACATGATAGAAAATAGTTCACACAATATTAAATTAATCTACTGAAATGCTGGAAGGTTCAGGAACATCCGTGGCTAGTTATTTTTTTTGTTCACTGTTGAACACTTACCGCATCATATTCGGCAGATTTTTTCCCGAATGATGTATTTGCCAACACATGAACTGGTTAAAACGTTGGGAAAAGTGTGTATGGAGAGAAGACTATCATGAAAAGTGAGAGAGGTGAATTTGCGAAATTCTTTAGGATTTGCAGTATGATGGCATTGCTACATGTTGCAATCTCATACGTTATTAATGCGTTACTTGAAAATTCCTGCAAGAAACAGAGGTAAGTAACCTAAAGGAGAAAATATTAAAACCTTCCCGAATATTTTGTCATTGTAGCCCTAACATGCAAACGCTAAAGAATCTTGATTTAAAGGTAATAATTTCAATGTTCAGTAAAAAGTAAAAATGTTGCAGTTCCGCTACTTTTAAACTCACTTTTGTTTCATGTACAAAAAATCGACCAGCAATATATTGCAAAATTGCTGAATATCCAACCATTCTCATATACATAGTCCTCCTGCGATTACAAGGACAGCAAAATGAGTTTAAGTCACGGAAGTTTTCACTAATTGTGGCGAGAATATGCAATACAGAAACATCGCAAGACTTACTGAAACAGTTTCAGGTAGGTAGTGCTCGAGGAAAACCCGAATATCCGTCAGCTCATTTCTCTCCACTTCACGCAATTGCACTTCCTCTACCATCTCAGAACATTGTTGTTTCCTCAAAGTAAGTCAGTCTCATTTAGATCTCAGTGAGCAAGAGGCGTTCAACGGACCGGAAATGAATACTTTCAACATATAATTTCAAGCATTATTCCGATATTCAAGCCTTGGTATCCATAGCCTATTTCGAACATTAAAGCCATCCACAGAAGCATCTGTGAAGTACGGTTTTACGACATTTATCTGTTAGAGTATTCCGATTTCATACTATTTGTATTACCTAGTCCATTTCAACAGCGGAGAACACCATAGAGGTTAGAGAGATAGAACAATTCTGATAACTGAATATCTTACGGAAAGTGTTCACGGTCGCGAGACCACCAGTCGGAAGCTCATGCGCAGTAGGTCGTTCCAAGATGGGGTGCATCCACGTGGGAAAAAAAACTTCGAAGGCGGGCCGCTGTGGCGTTCCCATGTGGTACACGTTGGCACACCCATTAACATATACTCCGATTGCATGGCAAGGGCGTGGGACGAAGGGAGGGATGCCCTTGGCCGCTCACACTCACGATTAATCTCTTGCATGACAAACATTCGGTCACATGATCCATGTGTGACACCGGCAGGCACTTGTCAACATTGGGTGAGAGTGACGCCTAGATCTTTCGCTCGGTCCCTATTTAGGCCTCATTTATTTTTCCCCATTGCACATTCTATGATCTTGGGAGAAAAAAAGGAAAAGGAATTGAAACAGATATGCCAGGCCGTCGTTTCACTTTCGACCAGTATGTGCAATTGTTGGTTGTGCAAGAGTGGAAAGCATCTCTCCCAGACCATCTCTCTCCAGACATGGAGAAATTAGTAGCACAGCGAAGCGGGGGAGGTTCATTTGTATAAACATTGCACGTAAATATATATTGCGAGCATACCGGCTCAGTTGATCTATTTCTATATAAAAAAAATTGTCACTCCATTTTATCCAATGATCCTGGGAATTCATGAATACCATGAGTAAATAAATTCCCATGAGAAAATCGACCTTCGCTTTTTTGTTCAATTTATACTGATTTGCTTCCTACTATAATTCCAGAGGGAAAACATTTTAAATTTTGTTTCAATTGATATGGACTCAGTGAGAGAAGTTCTCCCCCTGCCGATGTCAGCCATAACCTTCCAGCTGCCATAAGTCAGAACATAGTATTATTATTTCATTTTAAGTAAATCGGGTTCTAATATCGGTTTACTATTGTTTAGCAGGGTCATTGGTGAGATATCGGGGTCGATGACTTTGATTATACATTCAGAAAGAAGCATCCCAGATCCACCTTCACGATCCCCTAAACACAGTGATTAATGGATCAGAATGCCAAGCCTCTTGATCCTGTTGCTGTGTTGCGCAATATCGCTTCTGATACTCTATGAAAAGGGAGACACTCCTGTATTTTTATTTAAATAAAACGGGAGTGCTACTTAATCAATCAATAATATGACAGTCTGGAGTTCCAAGTTTCAAGGTTCTTGAATGAACGAAACATTTTCCCAATGGGCAAATCGTGAGCAGCAGCATCAACTGCAGGATGATTTTTAACTAAAACGAGTATAATTCGTGATTGAATGAGAGTACAACATTCGAGAAGAAATAGCTTAGAGGAAGAAACAGCACTTCAAGAATGTATGCTATTCTGGCTTCCTGATAGGACATTTCGGTGCTGAATGCAAGGAAGAACCTAGGACTTTGATGCAGGTCTTCCGGGACTCCTCGTGCCCCCCTGGACCTGTTGCATTTTAGGCTTCGGAGGACAATAACGTGTCTCTGTGGCTAAATACCGTATGGTGCTCCCATGCTTTACGTTTCATTGTGGTGCATAATGGTCACGCTAAATTTCTCAACATATGCTAAAAACTAGTATGTATACTTCGAAGCAACATATAACAAATTTCAGCTCACACCTCTGAGATGTACTTTAATAATCCAGCAATGTACTCGGGAATGCATTTTTATAATTTTTTTTTTTCCCCCAATTCATTAATTATTTTTAAGAGTGATAATTCTTGTCATATACGTATTAGATGCAGTCAAGTGGAAATTGAACAGCTCAAATACAACGTGAAACGCTCTCGCCTACCGTATACTATTATTTTGCGGTACAGGCGAGTGCCTTAATTATATTACATCAAGCAAAATGGGATACTTTAGATTTGAAGGACCCTCTACGAGTTACAATCTGCGCGAACGATTCCGCAATGTATGTGAATCAGTAATGGATGATATGTGACCTAGAAAATCGCAACGGGCACTAACACAGGGGACCATTGCCACAAAGGATGAAGCTTGTGGGTGAACCGATGCTTAGCTGAGTATATGATCTCTGTTGCAGTGCGTGGAAGTTTAGGATCCGTACAGTCAATCTTTGACGAACATACTTTACATAAAAGCGTGCGCGCATTGGGTTCCAAGATTTTCTGACGCAGGAAGAGATGTTTGCGCGTATGGACCTGGCACTGAAACAGTTGCTGTGATATTATGCAGAAGGCATTAATTTTGTATTTTATATGGTCGGTAGAGCCAAAACCTACTGACATCATTCTCAACCCACGACGGAACGTTCCAGGATGCAGTAGAAGCATGATTTTTCACCAATAACCAACAATGTAAGACATGACTGCTGGCGAGGAAACTTCCGCTCGCGTTCTTCTTTAATGAGCACGTTGCTTCGCTGATGGAGTTTCTCGATCATTCGCTATTCGTGAACTCTGACAGATGTGCAACGCTAAATCATCTCCGGCTTGCCATTCAGAACCAACAGCCTGGCCTCCTTACAGAGGCCATCTTGTTGCATGAAAATGCGCTTCCTCACACGTGACAAGCAAAAACTGGTTACATCCAAAAGTTACCGTGGAATGTCCTGAGGAGATTTCGTAATTTAGTCGCGCTGTGGATGCCAGTCAGAAGAAAGTGGGGCACGTAAGTCATAGTTTGGAAGTATCTCAGAGAAAAGCTGTCGAACGGTTTTTTTGCATTAAACACCCCATTTAAAAGATGAACATGGATAGAGAACTATTTACCAATGTCGAGCTATGAGTATCCGATTGACAGGAATATGTAGTCCCCGGGTATGCATTTACTTACTATTGAACTCAATAATATGTATATTGCAGCGAAAAATTCTTTCACAAACAGACCGACTCAGTTTTCACAAAGTTTGATGAAATCAAATCCCCCTGATTTCGTCTGACTCTGTTATTGCTCGTAGTGAGTAGTTTCACACAATGTGTACCGGACATTTTACCCTGGCGATCCGCCGCTCTGACATAAACCTCGGTTACTTTAGCCTGAAGCTCAATGCCTACAAGGCTATTACATTTTCGGCCATAGACTAGGCAAAAGGACTCACAAGAGAGCACTCAAAAATGGAGATCTTCGTGAGCGGTACGCAAAGTGTTAAGCACCAGTGATAAAAAATGCTTTAAATTATATTAGTGTCGCTACTGCACAAACTTATTAAGGAACGACCTTGTTCGCTTCGATAGTTAGGAGAGAGTAATTCCGTTTTGCTCTGATTATCCGTTCCCGAGTCATTTAATGCCCAAGGAGCTTCCGTAATCAGGCTTTTCTCCCGCCGCAACGCTTTGCTTCAAAGACCCTTCAGACACGGTGGGCGTGGATCGGAAACGTTGGAATGTGCAGGTGTTAGGCCATAAAAGACAATGGTACTCCATATTGTGAAATGAGTGATGCCTGGTACCACCTATGGCTAATTTATGGAGATGGTAATTTCAGTTTCGATGGCCAGACAACAGCAACCGTTCCCACTGAGTCGCAAACGGTTTATAGATTGCATGTATGCTCCAGAACATTTTGATGCGTTGGAACATTCAGGACTTGGAGAAAATCCTTGACCTCCTGAGTCAGATAGACCATTAACTGCGACCATAGACGCCAATGTGGCCCCTATGAAACCCGTGTATCACCATCTGGGAGCTGGAAAGCAGCATAGGGAAGAGGTTGCTATTGATTATTCCCATCAGGAGATGCATTATTCAAGGGAATTATCGTTCTAGGTGAAGAGTCAGCCGACCAGTGCGCATGCGTTCTATTGAGAAACCATTGCACAGAGGTATCCAGAGATCGCTATACAGCACATGGTGTTTACTTCCTTGGGCGTGGGTTCTCTAAGAATGAAAGCTCGGCGCACCACGCCAATTCTGAAGGGAACCAATAGAAGCATGATCCGAGAAAATCGTCGTCGTACGTCTTCGCCAAGTCAGTTTTTCGGTCAAATCAACAAATAGACGTTTTCATGAAGTATAATCTTGCAGCATATCCCATGTATTTCCCTCCACGCTTAGGCAGCAAAATGAATTGATTGGCTCTGGATTCATTCCGTAATCCGCATGCGTTAGTTTACATATTTCGTCATGTTTTCGTTATGTTATGAACACTTCTTGAAGTCAAATAAGGCTTCTTCATTCTCACAAACTTTACTCATTCAGGTATAGTATACAATTAACTTTTGCATACAGAAAGAGACATTAGGATATGGAGAGACAATCACAATAATACTCGTCAGGATTGTGATTGATAAGAAGTATTCATGTCATTACTGGAAGCTAAAGCTTGTCAATATATGGATATGAAGAACTACCAGGAAACCAAGACCGCCTCGAATAATTGAAATATTTGCAGGAAGTATGTCCATGCATATTGGCAATGATTAAGTAATGTGATTGAGAAATCTGGGTGGCAAATAAATTATCCACATTGCAGGCTTACGAGTGGAAGATATTTCAGAAGTCCCCTCATAAGAAAGCAAAAGAAGCCTTCGCAAACCAAAGGACGAAATTTGCGATGTTTTTGCTGGAGAGGCTCAATGACTCAGGGAGTTCCATGATATCCAGAAAAGCAAATAAAACAAATCAATTTTGTAGGAATTAGGGGATGGTTGTATTATGTATGGTATTGAGTAGCGTATTAATAAATATTTGTATAATACGTTATCTAAGCCTGCATTCCTGACATTCTCGACAACCAACTGCGAGGTGTCTTTCTGTGCCATATGAAATATCAACATACACAGGAACTATGGGCCATATACAGAATGAAATTCGTTCCTTTTCCTCTAGTCACTTTCTTGTATT